CGCATGTGTACATATGCACACAAACATATACATATATACGTATGTGTGTGTGTGTTGTTAGTCAACATTGGCTGCCATCGAAAGCCACCACCCCTCTTCCCTTTGTTGACAAAATAAAAAAGCCAACATTCTTTCGGTGGACGAAAATTTTGAAGGAGAAAAAGAAGGGTGGGCCCCCACCACGGGCCTCGCCACGGGTCCTACCAGTAATAAATTATTGGTGCATAGTATTTTTTTCAAAACACTATAAATAGGCCCCAAACTCTTAAGGAAAAACTCATTCCAGAAACAACTCCTCTTATAGAAAAGTAAGAGAGAGAAAAGAGAGGCTTAGAGAAAAGTCTTTGTGAGAAAAAATTGTGAGCAATTTTCAGAGTAGGGATTGGGTTGTGGGAAATTTGTGAGAGCGTTGTAAAATTTCTCTTTATAGTGAAAGATCTGCTGCAGCCCGTGGATGTAGACAAGTTTGTGCCGAACCACTTAATCTTGCGTGTCCCTCTTTTTACGCATTCATTTTGTTTTCTCTTAAATCTGGCAATAGGGGAATCTGAGTAATTTCCTAACAACTGGTATCAGAGCTCTGGTTGTGACTCCTGTTAATTTTTCTGTAAGATTACTATTCACATGAATAGTAAATTTTGTGAATAGTAAAATTTTACCGGCGATACTTGTTCGTTGAGAGCAGTGTTCTAATACACGGTGGTTCACAGAAATTGTCAAAAACAATCTAGAAGAAGCCAGATTCGAGTGGGAACGATAGCTGCAGATGAAGGGAAGGTGAAAATTAAAAAGTTCGATGGTGCGGACTTTGTCTTTTAAAAGATGCAGATCGAAGACTATCTGTACCAGAAGAAGTTGTATCAACCTCTCTCAGGAAGTAAGCCATATGATATGAAGGATGAAGAATGGGCTCTTCTCGACAGACAAGCTCTTGGAGTTATCCCATTGACGTTATCCCGTAATATTGCTTTCAACATAGTAAAGAAAAAGATCACGGCGGGTCTTATGGCGGTTCTCTGCAGCATGTATGAGAAGCCCTCTGTCGCAAACAAAGTTCACTTAATGAGGCGGCTGTTCAATTTGCGGATAACAGAAGGCGCATCGGTAGCTCAACATCTCAATGAACTCAACACAATCACAATCCAGTTGAGTTCAGTTGGGATTGAGTTTGATGAGGAAGTTCGAGCGTTGATCCTTTTATCTTCCCTACCAGAAAGCTGGAACGCTACAGTCACGGTTGTGAGTAGCTCATCGGGAAGCAACAAGAGCTTCAACCTCCTCAGCTTTACACACGGAGTCTAGGGGAAGAACTTCAGAAAGAAGTTCAAATCACGGCAGATCAAAATATAGAACAAGCAAATCTAGATCGGGAAAGAAAGATTTCAAGTGCTACAATTATGACAAGAAGGGTCATTTCAAGGAGTGCCGGGCACCGAAAAAAATACCGGTGCACAGGAGTCTGCCAACGTGATCGAGGAAGGAGGTGATGCTATGATTCTAAGCGTCAACAGTCCGATTGAATCATGGATTCTTGATTCAGTGGCATCCTTCCATTCCACCCAATGCCAAGAAATCATAGAGAACTATGTCAGCGATGATTTCGAAAAGGTACATCTAGCAGATAATGAAACCTTAAAGATTGTTGGCAAGGGAGACATTCGATTAAAATTACCAACTCAGATCACATGGAAGCTGCAAGGAGTGAGACATATTCCTGGCCTTAGAAAGAATTTGATCTTTGTGGAATAGCTTAATGGAGAGGGTTATTGTACAACCTTCTCGGGTCATGAATGAAAGATTACCAAAGGAGCACTCGTCATTGCTCGAGTTAAGAAAAGTGATACTCTCTATGTAACCTCTAACGTAGAGAATATTATTACAGTAACAGATGCAGATAAAAAATCAAACCTATGACACCAAAGGCTTGGCCATATGAGCGAAAAAGTGATGAAGATACTTCTGTCAAAAGGGAAGCTGCCAGATCTGAAGAATATAGATGTTGACTTATACGAGGATTGTATCTTTGGCAAACAGAACAAAGTTAGTTTTGCAAAGATTGGCAAGACACCCAAGACAGGAAAGTTAGAATTGATTCATACTGACGTATGGGGGTCATCTCCAGTTCCATCCCTTGCAGGCTCACTATACTATGTCACATTCATTGATGATTCTACAAGGAAGGTGTCGGTTTATTTTCTGAAGAAGAAATTAGAAGTCTTTGATACCTTCAGAAAATGGAAGGCCATAGTGGAAAATAAAAGTGGTTTGAAGATAAAGCGGTTGAGGTCAGAAAATGGAGGAGAATACAAAGACAGTAGATTTAAAAAAATTTGCGTAAACAGCGGGATCAAGATGGAGAAAACAGTTCCCATGACACCACAACAGAATGGTGTAGCGGAGCACATGAACAGAACTTTGAATGAACGTGCCAGAAGCATGAGGATACATGTTGGCTTACCTAAGATCCTATGGGCTGAAGCTATCAATACCGTAGCCTACCTAATCAATTGCGGTCCCTCAGTTCCCTTGGACGGTGGAATACCGAAAGAATCTTGGAGCAAAAAAGAGGTAAACCTTTCGCATTTAAGAATTTTTGGTTGTATCTCTTATGTACACATAGATTCTACTGAAAGAAGTAAACTTGATGCCAAATCTAACAAATGTGTTTTTGTTGGTTATGGTGGTGATGAGTTTGGTTACCGATTTTGGGACTATAAAAATCGGAAGATCATCAGAAGCAGAGATGTCATATTCAATGAGAATGTGATGTACAAAGACAGATCAACTGCAGAATCAAGTAGCTCCAGTACAAAAGCTGAAACAAAGAAATTTGCTGAATTTGAGGAGATTTCTAAAAATGATGTTCAAACTAGCCCTGAAGCAGTTTAAGAAGAACCAAGCACGTCAGAAGTGAGACGCTCCTCCAGAATTTCTAAGCCAACCCCGCGTTGTTCACCTTCTTTGCACTACCTGTTGCTGACTGACAGTGGTGAACCGGAATGTTATGACGAAACAATGCAGGTGGAGGATTCAGTCAAGTGGGAGTCTGCTATGCAAGATGAGATGGACTCGCTCATGTCAAATCAGACATGGGACTTAGCTGAATTACCACCAGGTAAGAAAGTTCTTCATAACAAGTGGATTTACAGGATCAAAGAAGAACATGATGGGAACAAGCGCTACAAGGCAAGGTTGGTTGTCAAAGGCTTTCAGCAAAAGAAAGGTATTGACTATAATAAAATTTTCTCTCCGGTCGTGAAACTGACTACAATCAGACTGGTGTTAAAAATTATAGTTGCTGAGAATTTACATCTTGAGCAATTAGATGTAAAAACAGTTTTCCTTCATGGTGATTTGGAGAAGGAGATTTATATGAAGCAACTAGAAGGCTTCATAAAGGCAGGCGAGGAAAATCTAGTATGTCGGTTGAAAAAGAGCTTGTATGGATTAAAATAAGCTCTCAGGCAGTGGTAAAAGAAGTTTGACAGCTTTATGAGCAGCGGTTTCATTAGATGCCAAGCAGATCATTGTTGCTATCTCAAGAGGTTTGACAATAGTTTTATTAGTTTGTTATTATACGTTGATGACATGCTCGTTGCAGGTTCAGATCTGTAAGAGATTACAAATTTGAAGTAAAAATTGTCAAAGCAGTTCGCAATGAAAGATCTTGGCGCTGCAAAGCAGATTCTTGGAATGAGGATCAAGAGAGACATGAAGTCTAGGATTTTGATGTTATCACAGGCTGAGTACATCAACAAAGTACTCTCCAGGTTCAACATGCAAGATGCGAAACCAGTGGGTACACGTTTAGGTGTTCATTTCAGACTTTCCAAAGACGTGCACACATGGCGAAGGTCCCGTACGTCTCAGCTATTGGAAGTCTGATGTATGTCATGGTTTGTACAAAACCAGATATTGCTCAAGCAGTGGGAGCTGCTAGCAGGTACATGAATGATCCAGGCAAGATACACTGGGAAGCAGTCAAATGGATCCTCAGATATCTACGGGGTACCATAGGAAATGTTGATGTCAGAAAAAATACTACATGGTATGTCTATACTCTAGGAGGTATAGCAGTGAGTTGGGTTTCTCAACTGCAAAAGATATTGCTCTCTCCACAACTAAAGCAGAATATGTCGCTGTTACAGAAGCCAGCAAAGAAATGGTTTGGCTTCAAAGTTCCTTGGATGAGTTAGGCAAGAAACAAGAAGACAATGTCTTATATTACGATAGTCAAAGTGCTATTCATCTAGCAAAGAATTCGTCCTTTCATTCCAGAACGAAGCACATACAGATGCGATATCATTTTATCCGATCACTTCTGGAAGATGGAATTTTAAAGCTTGAAAAGATTAGTGGAGCTCAAAATCCGACAGACATGCTGACAAAGACGGTGACTACTGACAAACTGAAGCTGTGTTCAGCTTCAGTTGGCCTGTAATAGTAATAAGATCGGGAAAGAGCTGCTACAGAGATCGAGATGTGAAGACAGATTAAAATTAGTCTTCAAGTGGGAGATTGTTAGTCAACATTGGCTGCCACCGAAAGCCACCACCCCTCTTCTCTTTGTTGACAAAATGAAGAAGCCAACATATTCTTTCGGTGGCCGAAAATTTTGAAGGAGAAAAAGAAGAGTGGGCCCCACCACGAGCCCCATCGCGGGTCGCACCAGTAATAAATTATTGATGCATAGTATTTTTTCAAAATACTATAAATAGACCCTAAACTCTTAAGGAAAAACTCATCACAGAAACAACTTTTCTTATAGAAGAGTAAGAGAGAGAAAAGAGAGGCTTAGAGAAAGTCTTTGTGAGAGAAAATTGTGAGCAATTTTCAGAGTAGGGATTGGTTGTGGGAAATTTGTGAGTGTTGTAAAATTTCTCTTCATAGTGAAAGATCTGCAGCAGCCCGTGATCGTAGGCAAGTTTGTGCCGAACCACGTAAATCTTGCGTGTCCCTCTTTTTACGCATTCATTTCGCTTTCTCTTAAATCTGGCAATAGGGGAATTTGAGTAATTTCCCAACATGTATCTATATAGATATATACATATATGTAATTATGTATGTATATATGTGTGTGAGTATATGTATATATATGTATATGTGTGTATGTATATATATGTAGGTAGACTCCCTGTAATATCATACAATTGCAGATAGAACCCCGTCCCACAGGATTTTTTTTTTTTACTCTTTTACCCTGAGAGAGTGACAAATAGAGCTCCAGAGGGTAAAAGAGTCAAAGAATTTCACTCAACTGCAAGGGATCTATCCTCAATTAAGTGATAGTACAGGGAGTCTATCTGCAATTAACCCTATCAGTAGGATACTGGTTCTAATGAAAGAAGATCGAGCATTACCTAGAATTTGAGGGTTCATCAAACCAACTGATCTCCTGGTGCACCATCCTTGCAAACGATAAGGTACGGATGCGTTTTACTAGCCTGCCACCTGCCATTCCGAAGAATAAGTGCTGAAAAGGCACTGAAAATAGAGAGATGATTCCGAGAACAAAGTACAACAGCGCCCAAAACTGAGCATCTTTCAAAAGCTCGTTCGGGGGTTTAAAGAATGATTTAATGGCACTTGACATCAATATTCCAAACACTGGAAAGATCACTCCATGTACAGCAGCAGCAAGCACTCCGAGTAGAAGAATTGGAATCTCTGGCTTGTTAAGGGAGAGTAGTCTTGTCATAGAAACACTCTTGCGAGCCTCCTGCTTAGATTCAAGATCTTTTTGTTCATATTCATGGCTTTCATCTTGGATTGAGAAGGAACCAGGCAATTGAAAAGAGAGCGTAAAAGAACGCCGACCGCTTCTACTGGGTGAAGAGCCTTTACTGGTAGATCTTTTAAAGGATGCCCTTTGGCTGTTGTATCTGCCAAAAGATTTTGTAGAATGAAAGATTGAAGCGGACTTTTCTGGTTCAGATGATGGTACTTCTTCAGATTCATTGTTAATCTCTTGTAGGCGTACGAGTTGAGAATAAGCACCATCAAGGTCCTTGATCAGTTCCGAGTGAGAACCTGGTTGGAAACCGTGTATCGAGTTATTCACACTATTACTATTAAATATTTTGTCTATATTTATATATCTTTGTGAAATATATATAACAACTCAGAGGTTCTCAGTCGGCTAATGGAAGAATGCAAGACGTGAAATTGAGGGCAACTTTTACACACACGCATACACACATATATGGATGTATGTGTATACACACACACATACACACACACATATACAAGGCTTAGTATACTTGCCCCACCTATTCTTCAATTTCACACTGGATATTTGTAGGGTTAATTGCGGACAAACCCCTTGTACTATTTCCCAATTGCGAATAGAACCCATGTATTTCTATTGTTGCAGATAGACCCTCAAGTGAAATCTTTTTTTACTCTTTTACCCTTAGGAGTTGTCGATCTCTCTCTAAGGGTAAAACAGTCAAGATAATTTCACTCTAGGGGTCTATCTGCAGCAATCTACAGGGGGTCTCTCCACATTGGGCGATAGCACAGGAGGCTTATCCGCAATTAATCCTACTTTTTATATTGAGACACGTTGATTTTTCTACCTTGCTCGATGAGTTTACCCCGGTGGACAACTGATATAGAATCAGCATTCTTCACAGTACTTAAACGGTGAGCAACAACAATCGTGGTCCTGTCTACCATGATCCTAAGCAATGCATCTTGAACTATTCTTTCAGACTCTGCATCCAGTGCACTTGTTGCTTCATCGAGCAGTAAAATCTTAGGGTTCTTCAGAATAGCTCTTGCAATTGCAATCCTTTGTTTTTGTCCACCGGATAGTTGTGTTCCATGCTCACCGACCATTGTGTCTAGCCCCTTCAGGAAAAAAATTCAGCCAACAGAACAATTAACTATGCAGCAAAATAAATTTATAAAGTAGCTGAACTTGAGTAAAGGCTAATCGCTTACATTGGGCATTTTGTCAATGAATTTTGAGGCATTAGCAAGCTCCATAGCTCTCCGAATTTCTTCGTTCGTTGCATCTTCCTTTCCATATGCAATATTTTCTCTGATAGTGGTGGTAAATAATATAGGCTCTTGACTAACAAGTCCAATTTTCTTTCTTATCCATTTAAGCCTCAGGCTCTTGAGGTTCACACCATCAATTAACACTTCTCCAGACTGTGGATCATAAAATCTCTCAACCAAGCTAACCACAGTTGATTTTCCGCTGCCACTCTCCCCAACTAGAGCCATGGTTGTGCCGCTAGGAATATACAATGAGAACCCGTCAAATATCAAATGATCAGGCCTTGCTGGGTAGCTGAAGTAAATATCTTTCAGCTCGATATCACCCTTGACGTCCTCCAACACAAGCCCATTCATCTCATTAGCATCAATACTTGGCTTGCGGTTGATTGTTTCAAACATCTTATATGCTGCGGCTTGTCCTGATGCAAATGCGGCTATGCATGGGGATGCCTGACCAAGGGACCTGTTAACACAGTTCAAGCAAATGACTCAGTGTAATTAAAATGTCTTAAGAATTGAAGGGTTAGTTGCAGATAGACCCTCTGTACAATTGCCCAATTGCAGGTAGACGCTCCCTAGTTCTATTATTGCAAATACACCCACTGAGTGTTTTTTTTTTACTCTTTTACCTTCACGAGGTCTATTTGTCAACAAATAGAAAAATAATTTTGCTCAGGGGGTCTACCTTCAAAAATAGAACTAGATGGGGTCCACTGCAATTGGGTGATACTAGAGGGGGTTTAACTGCAATTAACCCAAAATTGAATGATAGATATAATTGAATGAGGCACAATATAATTGAATGAGGCACGGCATACATTCCACCAGTCATCACAGCCGTCATGACATTGATAACTGATCCTCCGGTATATCCTTTCTTTACGATCAGCTTGGAACCGAACCATATAGCTAAAGCATAGCTACCGAAGAGAATTAATAGAACACAACCAACTCCAAGGCCTGAAGCAATCCCTTCTTGAACAGCAGATTTGTATGCACGTTTAACTAATCTAGTGTAATTTTCAATGGCCTGTTTCTCTCCAGTGAAGGAAACAACCTATTTGTTTATATAAAGAAAAAATGTAAGAAAGATAGTAAAAGATTCAAAACAAGCATCGATAGGCTTATACATACTGTTCTAATTGAGCTGACAGTTTGTTCAACTACAGTTCCAGCTTCAGCATAGGCCTTTTGTCCACGGCTTGATAGTTTTGATATGATTAATGACAACACTGCTCCAGAAGCGATAATAAGAGGAATACTTGACAGCATGACGAGTGTCAGAAGCCATCCTCTTGCAAATGCTACAATGAAGCCACCAAAGAAGGTTGAAACGAGCTGAATGCACCTCCCAACCTATAGAATAAACAAGTGAAGAGAACGTATCATAAGGAAAATGAACATATTCACAATAATTGAGGAAATTTCATCGAATATATTAATATATTATGATAGATTATAAAACTACTGAGTGGTGTACAGAATTATTGCGAAGCACACAGTAAGAAGACTAGTCAGCTTCAAATAACCCTCTTCATCCATACATGCAGTAGTATTATCAACCCTCAACGATACTGTTACCACTTAACAATCTCAGATAGGTACTTTTAGAGGAATAGATTGCAAATAACTCCCCTCTCCGTCATGATTTTTGGGAAGTTAAGTTTTAATGAATAATTAAAGGGTCATAAATGCTAGATTTTTGGGAAGTTAAGTTTAATTTAATGAAATAATTGAAGGGTCATACATGCTACGAAAGGTATACACGGAGGGGCGTTGTCTGCAATTTAACCTCGTAAGGAAAACAAAAAGAAAGAGATATGCCTAGAAGCTTTGGCTATTTAATTATATCAGATCAGATATAATATGGAAGAAGGCCAATTCATAACTAGTTTTTGGATAATTATGGAACTGTCAGTGTAATCATGTACTAAGAACACCTAGATTAGAGCCCATCACAACTATTAAATAGTGGGCTTGCTTTGAGCGTCAATTGAAAGGAAATTCGCAAGATGAGAAAGTGGGATATGCCTTAGGCCAATAACACTGATACCTTTTCACCAATGGCTTCCTGAATCAGAATCGTATCTCCAGACATTCTTCCAATGACTTGCCCTGTTGTCGTTTCATTGTCAAAAAATGCAATATCCTGTCTTAGTATGTTCTTCAAGTATAAGCCGCGTATACGTGTTGCTTGCCTTTCACCAGAAACCATCCAACATGATACCTCTGCCAAAGAAAAATGAAAAAGCAATCAAGCTTCCTTCACTTATTTCAAATTGCAAATTCAGAGCTTTTTATGAAACTGGTTGTATGGCTTAGAAACTTCACAGCGTAATAGACAGTGATGTATCGATATAAGCAGAAAATGTAGGATCTGTAGGAATGCTTTGATAGACCTAACTCGTAGGATTTACTCCTACATCCCCGTTTTCCAATTGATATGGAAAGCCCAAACTCCAAAGCAATAGCTTATTTAGTTGTCAATTTTTTACTGAAATGTTGAAGGGTTGAGTTCCAAAACCTGGCAAGAGCTCATCAGATATAAAGAATATCTCACAAAGACGAAACTACTTTTAAGTTAAAATGAAAGACTTGTTGGAGATACAGTGGCCTCAAAGGATTTTCTACACTATGGAAAACAAGAACGATCCAATGTACTATATTTAATGAAACCTCAAGAGTGCTTCCAAACCATGGTTAAAATTCGTTGAGATATCAACCATTATACTTAATGAAAGCTCAAGAGAGCTACCAATTGTATTCGAATTGTGTTCGGCTCACTCACGTGTAAGCTAAATCTATTAAAAATAAAAATAAAAATTTATAGATATACCATGGTTAAAATGTTGAGAAATAATTATTACTCAATACTCATATACTTCTCCATAAACTTACTATTTGAGGAGACTGTGTTGGGAATTTAACGCCTAAATCCCCTAATGCAACGGAAACGCGGTATAGAGAACAGTACACCAAGATTTACGAGGTTCGGCAACTGCCTACGTCCTCGGGAGCCATACAGTAAATTTCTTATTAATCCAACAAGAAATTACAATTTTAGGAGCAGATCCCTAAACTGGGATTTCTCAAATAAACACTGTAGCTACAGTGTTAATAATCAAAGGGTATGAACCCTTTCAATTCTCACTTGAGAATAAATACCCCACAATATAAACCCCACTTTAATTCCTCTCTCTCTTCTTAATCTCTCTTTTTAATCTCCCCTCAAAATTCCCCTTTGAGAGCTGGAGAAAAAAACGAAATCGCTACTGCGATTTGGGGAAAACGCTGCTGCGTTTTAGGGCAGTTCGCCACCGCCGCCAGAGAGAAAGAATCGGAGGAAAGGGGGGGAAGCTCAGCAACCGAAACCCTAGGGATGGGGTTTCTTTTATAGGCGGATGAGGAGGAGGAGCTGGCGACAGCCTGTCGCCAGCGTTCGCTTCGACGCCAAACTCGAGCGAACACAGAGGTCGCTTCGACGCCAGCTTCGCACGAACGCAGAGTTCGGACCCCCCCCAAAACGCAGAGCTCGCCATCGCTGTGACGCAGAGTTCGGGGGGGAGGCGAACGCACAGCTCGAGCTCTCGCCTGCGACCGTCGAAACTCGCCTGGGCTACGCCGCTTGTGACAACCGGAGCTCTCCGCCTTCATCATCTATGCATGAAGGCCAACTGAAGTTGCACACAACTTCAGTTTCTGAAAGGTCGCTACCTTTGTCAACATATCCGCTGGATCCTTTCTTCCTTGGATATTCTGTTGAAATCCTCTAACAACTTGTCGGGCTCTGTATCTTCTAGAACCACCATGTTCCTTCTTCACTCAATACACCCACTTGTTGTGACGTGCCTTCCTCCCCATGGGCAACTCAGCTAGTCCCCATGTCTGGTTGGAGATCAGAGATTTCTTCTCTTCTTTCACAGCAAACTCCCACTTGCTCGCATCTCCACTCTGACAAGCTTCATCAAAGCTTTCAGACTCTCCTCCATTTGTCAGCAACATATAATTCATGTATCTGCTGTTAGGCACAGGAGGACGAGTACTTCTCCTTAACATCGGAGCTGGTGCGTCGGGCTTCTGCGCACCATTCTGTCCAACAGTCTCTTCTGGCTGAGGATCTTCTGCATTGGGTTCTTCCGAGAGGTTATCCGGAACATCATCTGCATCTACAAATGTTGACTCGCTCTCTGAGTCACCGTCATCTGTCTTGTGCATGTCCTTATACATCACCTTCTCGTTGAATGTCACATCTCTGCACCTGATCACCTTCTTGTTTTCGTTGTCCCAAATGCGGTAGCCGAACTCGTCTTCACCATACCCGATGAATGTGCATTTCTTGGACTTGGGATCAGGCTCATTCCTGCCTTGATCACTTATATGCACATAAGCTACACAACCGAAAACTTTGAGATGTGAGAGGGTTACCTCCTTTCCGCACCATACCTCTTCTGGTATTCTGTGCTCCAATGGAACCGATGGACCTCGGTTGATCAAGTAAGCTGCTGTGTTGACTGCTTCTGCCCAGAACTGCTTCGGTAGACCTGACTGCATCCGAATGCTTCTGGCTCTCTCTGTCAACGTTCGGTTCATCCGCTCAGCTACACCATTTTGCTGAGGCGTGCCGGGCACGGTTCTCTCCATTCTGATCCCGTGCTCATAGCAGAACTTCTTGAATCTGGTGTCTTCATACTCACCACCATTGTCTGTTCTGAGTTTCTTTACCCTCAAACCGGTCTCATTCTCGACCATGGCTTTCCATCTTCTAAAAGCCTCAAGCACTTCTGACTTTTTCTTCAGAAAGTAGACCCATACTTTCCGAGAGTGATCATCAATAAAAGTCACGAAGTAGTGTTTCCCACCAATCGACGCGGTGGTTGTTGGTCCCCAAACATCCGAGTGAACAAGCTCTAGCTTCTGCTTTCTGGGGGGTCTGCTACTTGCCTGAAAGCTAACTCTGTTCTGCTTTCCAAGTATGCATTCTTCACACACATCAATCTCTACTGATTGTAAACCTGGGAGTTTTCTCTTTGTGTGCATAACCTTCATCCCCTTTTCACTCATATGACCGAGTCTCTGGTGCCACAGCTTTGAAGTCTCATTGCCTGCCGCAACTGAGATCGAACAACGTGCACCCGCTGTCATATACAGGGTATCAGTCTTCCTGCCTCTGACAATCGTCATTGCGCCTTTCGAAATCCTCCAATCATCACTATGGAAAGTCATCGTGTAGCCTTCACTAGCCAGCTGGCTTACTGAGATTAAGTTCCTCTTCAGGTCGGGAATATACCTGACATCCTTCAGCTCCCATACTGACCCATTCAGCTTAATCTTCACTACACCTTTGCCAATAATGGCACATGCTTGATCGTCACCAAGATATACATTTCCAAGGTTTCCGGGGATATACTTCTCGAGGAATTCTTTCTGAGAAGTAGCATGGAATGATGCTCCCGAGTCCAACACCCAAGACTCCTCCTTGCTCTCCAAAGAGCATATCAGCGCATCATCTCCTCCTGAGGTGGAGGCAACGTTCACATCTGCATTTGCCTCCCACTCCTCCCGTGCACTCCTGCACTGATTCTTGTAGTGCCCGGTTTTCCCGCACTTCCAACACTCGATAGCCTTCGAACTGTTGGGATTTCTGGATTTGGATCTCCTATCATCTGATCCATTTCCTCTGGTTGAACTTTTACCTCTTGACTCTGTATGCAATACTGAAGAGGTTGTAGCTTCACCCGACTCTCTCCGTCGAATCTCCTCACTGAGAACCAGATCACGAACGTCGTCAAACTTCAACTTATTGCTTCCCGATGAGCTACTCACAGCTGTGACCGTAGCGTTCCAACTCTCTGGTAGGGAAGACAAAAGGATCAACGCTCGAACTTCCTCATCAAACTCAATATCAACTGAACTCAATTGGGTCGTGACTGTATTGAGTTCATTGAGATGATATGCTACCGATGCACCTTCCGCCATTCGCAGATTAAACAACCGCCTCATCAAATGGACTTTATTTGAGGTTGATGGCTTCTCATACATATTTGAGAGTGCTGCCATAAGATCTGCCGTGGTCTTCTCCTTTGCAATGTT